ATATTGAATGACGAGAGATATAAATTATTATGGATTCCATATAATCAATTTGAAAATATTAAAGAGATTGGAAAAGGAGGATTTGCAACTGTTTACCATGCTAAATGTCTGATTGAATATGGGGATATATTTGATAAATATTCGTTCGCAATTAAAAAAATTCATGATCAAGATTTTTTTAGCGAGGTAATTTATTGAGTTTCGTTTAATATTTAAATTTATGACTAATTTGTTTTTTTAAAAGTTAAAAGCGTTTTGCGAGATCGGATATAAAAATCCATCATTCTTAAAATGTTATGGACTATCAAGAGATGATTCAGGAAATTACATTCTTATTTTTAAATATGCAGAAAAAGGTTCTTTACGTAATAATCTTCACGAAGTATCGCAAATGAAATGGGAAGAAAAATTAAATTTATTAAGTTGCATAACATCTGATCTTGAAGCAATTCATTCACAAGGATTAGAACATCGAGATCTTCATAGTGGAAACATTTTGCAAGATGAATTCGATAATGCGTATATTACAGATTTGGGACTTTCTAATATAAAAAAAGAAATTTATGGGGTTTTACCTTATGTGGCACCAGAGATTTTACAAGGAGAACAAAACACTCAAGCAACAGACATTTATGCTTTGGGTATCATTATGACGGAAATATCAACAGGAAGAAAGGCTTTTGATGGTTATAATTTTGATGAACTTGTTATGAAAATTTGTCATGGTTTGAGACCAGAATTTATATCGGGTATTCCTGATTGTTACATTGAGTTAGTATGGATTCAAACCCGAAAAAACGACCTAATATCCGATATATTAATGCTTTAATAACTACATGGATCGAAGAAATAGAAAACTCTGATGATGAAAATAAAATTAAGAACCAATTTTTAGAAGCCGATAAAATTAAGCCTAACATTGAATCACCAAAACATCCGAATCATATGTATATCAGTAAACCTATCAGCAAACCTATCGATGTACAAGAAATATCAGGAAAATTATCAAACATAGAAATTCCTGATGATACTTAGACTATTTATCTTTTTACCGAAATTGTTAAAATAAATAATATATTAAAATCTGCCGTTAGATATTGAATGTTAGTATGGTGTAATTAGATTTCTATATCATTGACAGTATTTAATAACGGGCTCGAACATTAAACTGAGATTGCATGGCTCTGCCATCAGTATTACGTTCGAAAATGAATGAATTAATATAATAACGTTATAATAATCACAGCGTGTTGCGAAATGATCCCATATACAGCTTATCGTTAGGGTTTAAATAGATGGCGATAGCACATTTAATCAAATTTCATCAAAGTAAATTATTTTGTTTAGATAACAATATTAGTAAACATTAATTATTACAACGTAAAAAGTGTTGGGCAACAATTATTTACTTATTTGACGGAGCTGTAAATACAGAAATATCGTAAAAATATAAAGATATTACCGAAAGTGCTGAAGGCATAAAAAATGTAAAGTTGGTAAGAAGTAATTATGTAAAGAGGTACTGTACCGTAAAACGCAATGCAAGGTACTGGGTATTTTATATTTAACCTAGATAAACATTTGATTTCTGATATTATGTAGAGAAGTTACATAAAACCCGTTAGAAAAGGAACAAGTAGAATTATTAAATGGTCATTGATTTGTACTCGAGATATAACAATAATCCTGAGATAAATCCAATACAAGTAAAATCAGTGAAGCGCCTGCATTGCGTTTATGGTAAGTAGTAAAGGATGTTCATTTTGTAAATGAACAGAAGTTATAAGCCTTTTGAAGTCGCCTTTGGGAAAAACAGTCTTTCGATTTTTTAATACTATACTATAATAACTAAATAAATATTATTAGTAAAGACTTTATAATTCAAAGTTCGTTCTGCTTAAATTCCTATACCGTGATTATACACGTATAAGGAGATTATTCTTGTTCGACTAAACCGTACTTACGTCAAGAAAGCCTTACTCACCGAAATAATGTGATATTTCATTAAAGTACACAGGAAGTTATTTGTTTACATGCTAGTTCTTATTCTCATGAACAAAATTATATTTAATTTTGATTTCAGAAATTTAAAACTACATAATATATACAGATATATAGTGGTAGGTGAAAAGTCTCTAAATAGGACCTTTTTTACTATCTATGCTAAGATCTATACTACGTACATAATTTTAAATATAGTTTAACCATAAATATTGCAATGATTACAAATAATAATCTTGGTGATTAAAAAAGGTGACTGTTTAGAGACTTTTCATCCACCCGGTATGTCGTGAATTGGAAACAGGATTTAAGTTGATTAAAATTATAATTTCGGGTAAAATTAATTTATAACGGGTGTTTCAAAAGTTTCACCATACGGACCTTTTTTAAAAAAGTAACTTCACATATATATAGAGATCACGATGATATGTATTTATAAGTATCTATATAAAGTCACTTAACAAAAAAGGGTTGTGGAACTTTTGAAACACTCGGTATACATCCCTGACCCTAAAACCTAAAAACTTCGGATCCACTTAAATCCCGTTACCACTTACAACATATACATAAATGTATTTAAATTTGTAACGATGTGAAAAAGAGAATTTACGAATGGAGTAATTTGGCACAAAATTCCTATTTTTACTGCATGGTTAGTATCAGTACGTATACGTAGTTATAAAGCCATATATGGTTAGGCATTTATAGACTGCCCAACCGCGGAGTTAAAGCGTTCTAACTATAATTTATAAAAAATCAATATTTTTAATAATAACATAGTCAAATTTGGATTGTATATGAGCTCTACAGAAGAAAAACCGAGAACTAAGTATCGTTAATCATATACATTTCAGAGACTAGTCCGGTAAATAATAAACTTAAAACATAAAGTATGGTTTTATTTTAGTAGCACTCAAAAATAAAAAAAAAATGGTAGTATATAGAAATAGATTTATAATTAAAGATGCAGGTGCTACTTAGGTACGTACACGTACGTACTACTTCACCGACAAAAAAAAGTATATAATTACAACTCGTAAATATTATTGCGTTTTCTGAATAAGGTAGTTAGAACACATGAATATACATACATACGTACATTACGTTGTTAAATATTCTAAAGAAACAGTTTTAAGACTTCCAATATTCTGTTTAAAGGATAGAATTGCTTTCTTTGCCATATTTTTAATGGCTTTGAGATTTATTTGAACTCGTTATAAGTATATGCTAAATTCACTATTAATTTTCACATCGAGCCAAACGATTTATTCCTCTCGCACGTTTTTTTATTTAGACACATCGTTCGTGAAGGGAGCAAAATTTAAATCTTGTTGCTATAAACTAACTAAATGATATCGATATAAGAACTAGAGCCCTATCTTTCACCTTGGTCAAATACACGGCTAAATATGTCAATATAATATCATTTGCATTGTTATATGAGCTGTGTCAGTTAAGTTATACGTAATAGCTCGAAAGCCTGAAATTGTGGTCTTCTTTTTGCAACACTCGAATAGCTTTAGATGCGGGAAGGTTAAGTGCATTAATATCTAATATCAGAATCGTGTTTAAAAAGTTTTATTACCAGTTAGACAAATCCTTGGTAAGTAATTACAAATTAAGAGATTAAAGGAACTGGCAAGCGCAATAATCGAATTTAGTTGAGTTCAAAACTCGCGTTTAGACGGATTAGATTTGAATGTAATTCTAGCTGAACTTAAATAGTTGGAAATTCAATTTCGGTGAAAAGCTCAAATTGAATAAGTTCGTTTGACACCGCCAAAAATATGACTTCAAGTTCTAATAGCAAAGTAAAAATAATTGTCTTTATTTACATAAAATTACTTAGCATATACGAATAAGACATGGTTGAGCTTTTGATTTAGTCGCTTATAACGAGCTCGTTCGATTAAGATCACTAACTTAAGGTGCTCTGCCAAATGATTCGGCAAGAGATCGTTGAATTAATACTGTAATTGGTAACCATTTCTAACGCAATTCAATTTTCCGATGACGTGAATCCAATTCGACTAAATTAGGTGATGATACACAGATGGCGTCAGTACAAGATGAGCAGCTGGTTTTTAAATAAATATCATTTTATTTCTTTGTAGAGAAAAAAGTTCCCTCCAAATTAATATTATACAAATGAACAAAAAATCACTTAATTAACGTAAATATCATATTATTATGAAGTGCATAGCGATTTTACACGAATAGGTCTAATCTGACAATTTGCAAAATAAAAAAAAAAGATAATCAAGTCTATCAAAATCAATAAAAATGATTCGACAAACAAAATTATATATTTTATGCCCATGCAGGTTCATAGGGAAAGCTTTTATTAATGTGAACCATTAAAATAATTTATCTCAATACAATTATATTTAAACATCATTTCAATTATCTTATAAAAAAGAAAAAATTAAATTCATCATACAAACTATCATAAATCAGGGATAAGCCTAATTAAAAATTATTTAAATAATTCACCATAAGGATTAAAAGTTAATCTAAAATTCACCTACGAGGCTACAATTTTTTTATTGTGGGTAAATAATATTTGATAATTTTTTAAAAAGTAACTTCTGATACTAATAACACTTACCTTCAATAAATCATGGGGCAATTTTCTAATCTATACTATTTATTTCTGGGTATAAAGTCAAAATAATAAGATATATCAACTGCCATTCACAAAGTGTCTTCTGTATACATTAGAATTTGATATTTTGATATATAGCAAAGAAAGTAATAAGGTATATGGATACCTTATCGTTTGTAGTATTATTTGATTATAGATGGCTCATGATTTATTAAAGGTAAGTGTACAGGTTTATAAGAAATTTGTAAAGTTTTTTAGAGAAGATTCATATAATTTGTGAGTATTAATGTAAGATAAACACTGCCTTTAAGAAACTAAGGACTAACAAATGTTCATTTTGTTTAGGTACGAATCTTCTAGAATGTATGAGCTTTGTTAAGTTAGATGACCGTCTTTAAATAAAATAAAAATAAAACGGTTCAGGATCGGGAAAATCACAGCCATGGAAGAGTATGTCTGATTCATCCGTATGTTTAATAGGCCTCATTGGCAAGTCTTCAGGTTCTTTTTTCTCAACACCATGATATCTCATTAAACCTGGAGCTGGTGGCCCAAAGATATAGCGATTCACCCTTTTATATTCGTTCACACGGAAGGCAATATTCGTGTGAATGTCCTGTTCTTCAAGTGTTGTAAGGTGTTCCCAAATATAAAGCGTAATTTGCTCAATAACTTCAAGATCGAAAATAAGAAGTGTGTTACAAATTGGACCAATTTTAAGCTTTATTATATCATATCCAGATAATGTTCGTGGTTGATCCCAACGTATCGCAAAAATTTGTACGTCTCTAGGCGCAAATTCATGTAAGTTATTTCCATTGACAATCTGTCTTGAAATATTAGCTATCTGATTATTTTGGTTGTTCTGATTATTCTGATTATTTGCCATTTTTCAAAATATCGTTAGCAACTTTTAATAAGAAATTTTCTTTTAAATAATGTAATACCCTCATTATAACTGCTAAGTTAAAAGTGTTAAAAGGGTAAAAAGGGCTAACGGTAAAGTTTTTTTTTTCAACAAAACTTTTGCTTTTATAGAGTTTGGCGGCTAATTTTTTGTCACATTCTATTCACTTCTATACAGTATTTCCTTTGTACACTAAGGCGTAAAGGTAATATTAAATTATTGTTATTTATTGACTATTTCCGAATCATTTCTGATTTTATTCAAACAATAGGCATGCATAGAAAAATCTTTTCATATTTGATGTGTACGATGCAGTCTTTAATTCCGGATGGTTATATATATAGTTTAGTTCAATTCTATCCAACCACAAAGGATAAAAAAAATTTTTCAAATATACCAAAAAAAAGTAACATCTAAATCATTTATTCCGAGTTCTTTGTACAAATACAGTAATTATCAAGTAGCACTGCCTGATAATTAGCTTATTTGGTCAAAGATTTAACTCAGGTTAAGAAATTATATAAGACGATAACTGCATTAACTGATTTATAATCAATTGCTGAATAATTATTCTTCAGCACAAACGATGGGCAGTTAAAATTAGTCATACTTTAATTATATCATTTAAGTTTTTTTTTGGCAATTAAACTATCGGATAAAATTTTTTATGGATCTATAATATGGACTGTCAGATTAAATCATTTATGGGTATATAGTGGAATTTCTACAAAATATTAGCGATTATTTAAAATATTATTTACTGATCTATTATATCTGCAATATCGCAGTATAAACTTTAAATTATTACAAAAGTTTTTAGTTTTTCAGATTCAATAAAGTTACAAAAGAATGCATTATGAATTAGTTAAATGGATATATATCTTTTTAATAAGCATTGATTTAAAATTACTAATGATGGTAGTTCATAGAAATTTGAAATTTTTAACAAACATTAAATTACATAATTTAAAAAACCACTAATGTTTATTTATATATATATAGGTTAATAGAAAATTGGGTGCAAATTCATTTCACTGGCAGAATTGAACGTACAGAACATCAATACATATAACAGAATTGAAATTATATTTCAAGCAGACAAGACAATCCTTAAAAATGTACTTATATCCAATAAAAGACAAAGAAATATCCAACTCAGTACGTTAAACTTTATAGGTGTCTGATTAAGCACTAATTAAGATGAAGATTATTATATCTGATCAATTATTTTCGTTTTTTTTTTTTTTTTTCTTGATGATATGTGGGTATTATATCAATTTTTAATCTTTAAATGGGATTATCACTTCCGAACTCCGATTCATAATCAGGATCATAAACGCCGAAACAACTCCGAATTTCGAAACACAGTATTGACCAATATTACCGAACCGTCTTTCAATTTCCTTATTTGGGAAGAAATTCTTTTAAATAAATAATTATTTCAATAATTGGTCTGTCGAACTTAGTTTACCGGATGAATTCCTTACATTAAATAGTGTAATTATTTGTGAGAGTTTAAATAAAAGAAAATGTGAACTGTGAAATTTTTTAGCGAAATTACTTTGTTTCAAAGGCAAATCATGTGGCGTAGAAACCAATAAGAACAATCACAACAATCAGAAGATCCATCTATTTACATAAGGCTGGTGTTACTATCGATTTTGCGAGAGTGGGGACAGATATTGTCCCGTTTAAATCAGAATAGTAATATAAATAGGGTATCGAGTAATTAAGTATGGAGTATTTCGTATTAACGAAATGTGAGGAAATCGAGATCAAGCGGTTGTTGACGATGGATATAAATAGATGGGGTTAACTATATATTGTTATGGGTAAATCCGACCTTAAGACCATGAGGAACCATTGCGTAACGACCCCCATGAAAACCATCGTACCACAATGCCCGTGACCCAGGAAAATCCATGTTTCCCATTGCCGATCCCATGGAGAAAAAGCAACCTGCTCAATTTGGAAGACATCTGTCAAGGTAATATTACATTTACAGGTAAAGTCTGTGGTTATGTAAATGCATCGTCATATGTTGCATATCATTGTTGGAGGAATAATAATTCAATTAAAAATACTAATAGAACGAAGGTTGGGTTGTTGAAAAAGGGAAAAGTGTTAGTAAAAAAAGGTAAAACAGTTTATTTTAATGAAAAAAAGACATAATGTCATGTTTGAATTCCTTTTCTTTTGCTCTTTCTTTTTTATAAGTGTATGTATGTTTTAAATAGATCTGTTAAAAGAAAATAATAATTAATTAAATAAAGTTTTTAATTGTATTTAAAAAAAAATAAAGAAACTAATCTAATAAGTTAAATCATTATATTCCTTAAACCTATTTACTTATATTTGAATTCTCTTGTAATGTTTTTAAAAATTGTTTTAACCTGTATTAAATCATAATCATCTTACCAAGCTTTTGAATGATATTACATAATGTCAAAAATTTCAAAGTGTCAATTTATTACATTTTCTTTATCAGTATTCCTGACTCATCTAATCTGTAAAAATATGTATAGCATAAGTTAAAGAATTATATAATATATCAATAGATTGGACAACAAGCAATTTAAACAAACAAAACTGCTTATTACTGAATCCTCTCAACTTATTCAAATTGCTAAAACCAAACGTATTACTGACTCACATGCCTGTTATATTATTAACACAGTTATCATTCCTACTCTTGAATATTGTCTTCAAAATATTGTAGTTAGTCAGCCTACCTGCAACAAGATTTTCACTCAACATATTGGTCTTGTTAAACTTAAAGCTAAACTCTGTCGTACAATATCCTCCAGTACTCTTTTACATCTTCAAATTTACAACATCAAACACATCTGAGATATCCAACTACAACATCATATCTCTAATCTTCTTAAACAACTTAATAACCCTGACCTGTTAGGCACATCAACTCACATCTGAATTCAACAGTTACAAAATAACCTCTGGTCTTCTACTAATATTTTCTTACATTCTAAACCTATTATCGATGGTCCTAACTGT